AATAGCAAGGGGTCAGTGTTTTCCGTTAGTCTTATCTCTTCCATACCACCTGGCCGGAACGGTGCGTTATGACATGTGCTATGAAGAGTATTATAATTGTCGCCCGTGCCCAAGTTTTATCATCTGTTTATCATATCATGGAGTGAACTTAATTAATAGTTAATCAAATTAGCAAGTGGAACAGACTTAAATTAGCTATCTAACGATATTTACATTATTATTTATATGGATAGAATTGAAATTAGGATGCCATATTGTTTTATCTCAAGATAAAGAATAATGAATGATCTGAACACATTTTACCAATCTTCAATAAGATATTTTGAAAGAAGTTATCAAAATTAATAACGGTTTATCTCTATAATTTTTTTAAACACAACACAAAACAAGACAATATGTTCGCTCCTAATTCTGAGCACGACCCTCTCCTGGGGTTAAACCAATCCCACCTGACTGGGGTTTCACATAAACCTTTTCCCGTAACATATCGGGACCTCCCAATCTATATTATTGGGGTATCACAAAATAAAAATAATAAAAAAAATCTCTCCCGTACATATCGGGTCATCCCATTAACATTTGGGGTACTACGTTAAACACGAATAAAATCTTTCCCGTAAATATCGGGCCATCCCATTAACACTTGGGGTAATATACACGTATAGACAAAACAAATAAAAAACCTTAGAGATAAACGCGGTAATACTGTGTGAATGTTATTGGGTTAAATTTCAAATTACGATACTGTTAACCCAATTCTAGTTAAACAATCACAAAACATTTTACTTTTCGATATTAACCTATTAATACTAATTTTAAATGCCAAAATATGTGTTCAAAACAAACAATTATAATTTATAATCTTTTAAAAACAACATGACCCATTGTAAAACAACCAATATATATACAATTTTGTTTTAGTCATTTTCCTACAAATAGTTAAGGACTGTTCCACTACTAGCTTGAACGTTATATTAAATTAAGTAACTACACCATGATATTTAATAAAGCGTGATGATAAACTGCTGATTTCCCAGTTAAATTATAATACATTATAGCACAATGTCATTATTAACCGGCCATGGTAGGATTAGAAAAAGACTTACCCGTGTAGACTAATATCTGTGGCCTGTGGTCTTCTAGTGGTGGACTTCAAACATTGCTCTGGTCAGCGGCGCCAATTAATATGTGACAGTATTGGTTCTTTAATCAGGTTCAGATGACAAGACTAGTTTCAGCTTCTATTAATACTTTTATTCTGCTTCTAATATATTATGTACAAACATCGTAATGTTAAAGACACCCAGGACTAAATTACATTAGTTGGCCGTTGTCCGGTCTTAACTCCATGACCTGCGTGGCCTGGAGTTAACTACCAGACGTCGCCTAGCCTCCGCCTGCCCTCCTGTCCTGCCTGGACCTCTCTGCCTATTTGTTTCTTAATCTGGGTTTATAAACCTTTCCACACACAAAGGAATCTCATTAGGCATCTGCTATAATGTATCATGTTTCATATCAGTTAAAGTTCAGTATAGTTTATCAGACAAAGAAGTAAGATAAGACATGCCATCAACAAGTTAAAGTTACATAAGTTACAAAATGCTACCAAGATCTATAGTGGTCGGCAGGTAGATTTGATATTCAAATTACTTTCACATGTCAAGATGGCAGGGGGCATAACATGTCATTTTGTAACAAAAAGTAAAATTACCGACCGGACAGTCGGGTCGCCACCGTCAAAGATTGTCCGTTAAAATCTAATATTGGCATTTAATCAATTATTGAGTTATACTACTCGATTAAAAAGTAAAATTACCGACCGGACAGTCGCCCTTTAAAGAGTAATGCTCGAATACTTATTCAACAAGTAAATATTTGTTTCATACTGGTTATAGTTGTTGTGGTTTTATTTAAATGTGACCATTAATTATTTCCTTAACGAACTATCACAATACACAAAGGCGCATGTTTAGACTGACTGCTTAGTACATTTATATAACATATTAAATGTACAAAATTTTTTTTTACGACGCAAGCAAAAGTAACTTTACTTCCACTAATACATCCTAAAATATGCTGACAGAGAAAGAATTCTTGTCCATAGTCAACGATTATCTTCGTTAATATAGGTTATCGAATAAATTCGTATTATTTTTAACAAAATTGTGTTTTAACCTACAGCTTTAGTATTGGTAATGTTTTAAATGTTAGGATGTATCTTATTGAAAATTCATAACGATGAGTTTTCTAACATATTTCCGGCTATGGTTCAACTAGTAAATGCAGGAAGACAGCACCACACAATATGAAAACCATATAGGACACGTGCCGTTAATTGTGAAGGTTATCGATTAACTTATTTGTTATCATCTTGATTTGATATTGATTCTAGAAAGTTTACATTTAATCTTTGCTATAACCTTACCGCTACACCAATGGTCACGCTGTATAAATGTATTTATCTTATGTTCATACTAATGTATATATGTATAAATGTTACTATTTTGAAGTAATTGTAGTTATTTTACATATCATCTACATGTATTATTTTCCTATGAGTGTTTTTTATAGTTGTCTTCTATTAAATATTAGCTCATTTAAAGTGAGGATCATACTTTATATTTTAAACTCAAACACTGTGTGTAATTTAAATATCCTACATTATGTTAAACAAATTTATACGTATTTGCTACATGACAACTCAAAAACCGAAAAATATTATTATAAAATTCATATTCTAAAGTTTCTGGAATATTTTATTACGCTTAGTGCTTTAATATCATTATACCACCTTCTCTTGACTCAAGGTATTCACCCTAATCCAGGTCCATTTAACCTTCACAATCAAGATAAATTGTCTATTTGTCAACTTAATATTAGACGCGTGATGCACAAAGTAGATTTTTTAGAAAGTTTTCTATCTGATTTCCATATAATATGTCTCACAGAAACACATCTAGATAATAGCGTCCATGACAGCGAAGTACAATTCGATGATGCCTATAGAATTTTTAGAAATGGTCGGATTAATCATGGGGGTGGGGTTATTATTTATATACACAATGACATTTTATGCGAACGTTTTTACTCTCTAGGGAGCTACGGTGGCTAGGTGGTTAAGACGCTGGCTCGCTAGCCAGGAGGTCGGGTGTTCGATCCCTGCATTGGCCGAGAAAGTACATCCAGATTTTCCGACGTGGTTTCCCATTGTCAGTGGTGCAGAACGGAGGGCCTGACAAGGACAGCTGTCTAGTCCTTCGGATGAGTTGAAAAACCGAGGTCCCGTGTATATATTAGAATACACGTAAAAGATCCCCTGGCAGTTGGAATTCGATATGAGAGTAGGCGATAGTGCCGCTGCCCGGGCAAAATTTCCCTCATAGCACACTGTATGGCGTATGCCCGTCTTCATTAGCCCAGTATAGGAGCAGAACAGTAGGACGTTAAACCCCATTTCATTTCATTTCATTTCATTTTTACTCTCTAGAGTTTCATTCTGATATCATTTGGTTAAAACTTACTATAAATTCTGATATTATGTTAATTTGCCTTACTTATAGACCAATTGAATCCCCTGTTAATCACTGGACCTTCTTAGACGAATCAATTGAAAAAGCTTTCGATATATCTTTAAATATCATAATTGTTAGGTGATCTTAATTCCAATTATTTTAACCCCCGTGTTTATGTACACACACTCTGTGCTATGCATAATCTTAATAATACTATTACAAAACCTATCAGGATATCTGAAATTTCAAGTACATTATTAGATCCTATAATTATCTCTAATGGTATTAATTATATTACGGTAGATACTCTGGAAGTTCCTATCAATATTTCGGATGACTTTGCTACTTTTATTCATCTTGATATTCATACCTATCATCATAAAAGTTTTCGACCTAAAATATATTGATATAAATGCGCAAATTTTCGCCAGTTGAATCATGATATATCTAATATTGATTGGGAAGATGTATGGAATGTAGATGATGCTATAGATAAAATAACCGACAAGTTTACATCAAAACTAGACGAATTGATAGAACAATATATCCCTTCAAAGATAATTACTGTAAGAAGTAAAGACAAACCTTGGTTTACTCCCGAGATTAAACAACATATACGTATAAGAGATAGGCTTAGGAAGAAAGCATTGAAATCTAAACGAACAGACCATCTATCTGCCTACAAAAGACATAGCAATAAAGTTAATAACATGAAACACTATGCTAAAAAAGAATATTACAGATCAATTAATGAAAATATAAAAACAATTAAAGACAAACTCCCAGCGAGAATATTGGAATACCCTCAAAAGTTTTATCAAACAATCTCACCGAAGTAATATACCATCTCTTCAGTCCCCATCAAATGTTAGTATTACAGATTCTAAAGATAAAGCAGATATACTTAATACTTATTTAAGTTCTATTTCTACTATAAATGATATGGTACAACTTCCAGAATTTCCGCCTCAATGTAATAATACATGTCCGCCAATCAATATAACCACTAATATAATAAAATCACTTATTAAAAAATTGAACACTTCGAAAGCAAATGGACCTGGTAATATTAATAATCTATTTTTAAAATCAACTTGCCAAAGTATATGTCTCCCACTTAGTAAGATATTTAATTTGATAGTAAGTAAGCGTGCGTTTCCGAGCATTTGGAAATTAGCTCAAGTAATTCCTCTGCACAAAAAAGGTAACCGAACAGAATTAAAAAATTATAGGCCAATTTCTCTGCTTAACAGTGTTTCAAAACTATTCGAACGAATTATCTATCAACATATTTTAGACTTTTTATTAAATAATAATTTAATATATAAATTTCAGTCGGGATTTCTACCCGGCTTATCCACATCACACCAACTTATTGAGATGTATAATCATATATGTACCGCGTTAGACAACAAACAAATTACAGCAAACACATTGCTGGTGCTGTGAAAACTCAATTTCATATTTGTCAATATTTTGTTATTTCAGATGATGCCATCTTGGTCCAACTCATTGTGTGCTTTCATCTCTTGGACACTTACATCATTTTTGTGTCACTGGACAGCAAAACGATTTCTTAAAGCGTGGCACCTAGTTATACAGAGTCACACATTAATATCTTCATCAATGTTAACCTTAATACAATGTTTAACATGTATCGTTTTGGTGGATGTGACATCAACCATTGGTATGGAGAATTCCTCTAAACAGACCTCCTGTGTAAAGATTGTTGCACACATTCTGGCAACATTTTGCACCAATTACAGTATGACGTTCATGAATGCAGCTTCAACGTTCACGATTAAATTGTTAGAACCAATCACATCCGCTGTTGCACAAAGTCTGTTCCAGAAAATTTCGATAGCGCCGAATTCTCTGATAAGTCTACCAATTATTGTTTACGGGGCGTTGTTGTTTACCGGGGGTCCTATGGGAGACATTAAAATATCTCCTGGAACTTTGTTAGCCTTCATGTCCAACATAATTCTAGCAGCAAGAAACATAGCCATTTCAACGGAGCAGAAATCGAATTCTGTGAGTCGTATAAGGAAATCGAAAGCGATTCTTGTCTTCGTTTTCTTCGCGATTACTTTGTTAATTGCAACAGGCAACGCCGAAAGTAAGGGGACGCTTTCTAAAGGAACAACTTTAATGGTGCTTCTGGTAATTGGGTCAGGAATTTTCCATGTCACGTATTCGTATATCAGTACCAATATTGTATTAAAGACTATGACGGTGTTTAATCATTCTATTTTAAATATCTGTAAGAGACTGTTGGTTGTGGTACTGTTATATGCTGTAGGAAGTCGGCGAGCTTCTGGCACTAACTTGCTGGGCTTTGTCATCTGTTCCGTGGGACTTGCACTTCATGTTCTTGGGAAATATACCACAACTGTCCCCACAACTGTCCCCGATATCAGCTTCATGTCAAGTATCACAAAAGGTAAGGGTTTTATTCCATACGGGTAAATGATGGATTAATATTTTTGGGAATTTTGAGACGAATTATTGCCAGAAACATTGTATTGTCTTGGTCTGATGAGTTATTTCAATGTATGATGGAATACGCTCTATGTGATTAATGTTTCACTAACGAATTTAAGTAAAATGTTTTGAAACTAAAATGAAATGAATTGTTAAGTAGCGTGTATTTTCTATCAGCATACGCTATTCACTTTGCTATAACGCTACGACCCTTTACCATTACGATTTTCAACTGTCCTTAACACACAAGACTTAAGGGTTTCGTTATCTCCGAACTACTACATGCTTTAACCTGCCCACAGAGGGAGATACCCAGACTCAACAAAAGCCCAAGGGATGTTTTCGGCTTACACAGGACCTCGTCGTTAGTAAGTCATTGCCATGCTCACCAAGCCACCATAGTTCCAGTATTAGCCACTGTTGACAGTTGAATACAAAGTCGGCTATATCTCAACACAGGCTTCGTCTATTGGCCCAAACCAAGGGCGACAGTGGTTATGCAGTAGATTTCACTTCTGAAATCCTTGTACAAACTATCGTCCATGTTAGTGCCTGTGTCGTGCTCGAGTTAGGTTTGCTTACTACTACTAGTTTTAAACAATGTGTTGCTTGCATCTTTCATGATTTAAGAACTGTTTCGCTAAAATGGGTATTTTGTATTTTGGAATGTTCTGCATTGTTGGATATTTTCAAGCGTATGATTACGCAGCATCCATGGGGGAGGAGAGGTTACCCTTAGGTTGATAAATGCTTGAAATTTCGATAATTATATGAGTCAAATTATTAATTTCGTATTTTGTCTTTCCACTGTAGTCGCGGTCATACTGATAAGGAATACAATTAATTTGTTATCTTATTTTTTTTATATTTCTATAGGTAGTAGGAAGACTATGGTATACATCATGATACCTTTGATGATATTTGGCTCCACAGCTATTGTTTCATCTCACTTAAATGGCGAAGGGCACGGTGAAATATATGCAAAGCCCTTATTCAACAATACGCTCTATGATTCATATTCGCCCTATTTGACAACAAGAGATGAAATAATAGAGGAGGCACAGAGAATACATCATGAACTTTTTACCGAGTTGTTGAAGCCTTATAAAAATGTAATGCTTCTTGATATTGCCTTACATGAAAATAAAGGAGATCCGGCTATTACCATTGGTGAAATGATATTAGTACAAAAATTAAATAAAACATTAGTTTATTACTGTGATAAACAAATGTGTGAACGAAACAATTTTGTACAGGCATCGTCGATTGTTAAAAAGTATACTCGTCAAAATCTCGTAATCCTATTACATGGCGGAGGAAATCTCGTAGGGTGGGTTATTCATGATCATCTCAGAGAGAAAATATTTAATGTGTTTCGGGGATTTAATTTCATATTGTTTCCACAGAGTATCTTTATGTCTGGTGGAGAAAATCACCTCCGGTATTGCGAAAATTTGTACAAAGGAGAATCTAATTTAACCATGATTCTTAGAGACAGACACTCTTTAGCACTTGCTCAAACACATTTTACTGGACAACCAAAACTTATCATGGCACCAGACATGGCTTTTCAAATTGGTCCGGTTCGGCGATTTTTAAAACCTTTTTATGACATTTTATGGATTCACAGAACAGACAGGGAGAAGCTTGAGGATGAACTACCAAAACTGCCGACTGATATGACAATCCGAATAGATGATTGGGTATTTTGGCCAACACCTCATAGTAATATGAACATGGAAAACGCTTATCTTATAGTCAATAATGGACTGATATTCTTACAGAGGGGGAGAGTAGTTATTACCGATCGTCTTCATGGTCATATCTTAAGTACTTTATTGGATATTCCCCACGTGATTATAAATAACAAGTGGAATAAAGTCAGTAATTATCATAATACTTGGACAAAAAGTTTGAAAAATACGCGCGTTGCTAATAACGCGTCTCATGCTATTGATCTGGCTAGACAACTTTTAATAGAATATTCTCATGTTTTGCCGGAAAAGGTTCCTTTCATGTCAGTTAATGTTTAGAGATGCATTATGTAACAGATACATCTGACTATTGCGGGGTTTTATTTTGGCCTCAAATTTCATATAAACTGTTATTGAGACATGTATTCACAATGTATGCAATGACAAACCTATAACCAATTCTCTAGATCATCAAATGATTTGAACAGATTGAAATAGGAGTGTCATAGTTCAATGATTTACAGTAGGACGTTAAACCCCATTTCATTTCATTTTATTTTTAATGATTTAGAATCGCGGTAGAGTCTCGATTAACCAGTAACGTTGCCACACAATTATTTTAAGCTGCCCCGGTTGTGCGTGACATGGAGAAGGGTTTCCTGTTAGTCCCGAAATGACCAAGTTTGTGTCGAGTGGACGTTACCCCCTCTCTCTCTTTTAGGTTATTTCGGGACTAAAATATGGTTCAGTTGTATTCCAATAACCCGCTTGCGCGTAGGGTGTTTAGCTGAGGGGGTAACAGGAGGACCCTTGCTACGTACAAGCTGGTAATCTTAACCACGCTGTCGCAATTGGTATGTTAATTTGCTATGTATAATTGTGGCATGGTTTATTTCTGTGAATTAGGGTACATAATAAATTTGGTACATGGCTAAAGGGAATATTTATTTCTTTTAGAAACATTTATTAAGAGTTTTACAGGTTTTAGTTAATAAAGTTTAATTTTTTTAAAATCCCCATATATCGAACTATATATAAGATTACGGTTTAAATTAAAGTTTGTCGTAATTTTTTTTTTCATTGAAATTGACTGCATAGTGTATGACAGGTTGATTTCGGCTCATGTCATAATGTTCAGGTTCGATGAATATTGAGAAATGATTTTGGAGAAATGTTTTGCAAGATTTGCATTTGGAGATTTGTATTTGTAAATTTGTTGTTCGAGATTTGATTTTCATTGGATGTCTAAGATGAAATGCAAATGTAGATTATTTTTTTTTTGATTTACTAAAATAAATTTTATCTTTATATTAAAATACAATTAAATTAAACAAAAATACATTTTACGAAACTGATATGACAAATGTCTGATTTGTGAAACCGATATTGATTTTAAAACACAAATGTTTATTTTAGTGTACAAATTTCGAAATACGACAACAAATGAAGAAATGAGAATTAAGGACTATGAATTAAGAAATAAGGATTGGATAAAGAGCTGTTTGGTCTTCCATATATCTGTTGATAGCTAACAGCCCGACCAAATGTGTTATGTACTCAAAGCCATTAAAAACGCAATGCCTAATTCGTGAAATATTTCTGGTAAACGTTTTCTTGGGCTTTCCTATCTAATGGCAAATAGGTGAAACTTGTGATGGGTCTCTTTTTGTGTTGTTCTGGGTTTGAACCCAATATCAGTTCTCGGTAATGCTGGATTAGGGGGCTTCACGGATAGTCGTCGCCAGATACTTTAATATCCATCCATCGACCATTGTTCGCCTCAGACAACGCTTCCACGCCACTGGAAGAGTTGCCGATCGACCCCGACCTGGAGCGCCACCTGTAACAACCGCTGCTCAAGATCGCCACATCCGACTACAGCAGCTGCGCAACAGCTTTTGAGGGAGTGTGTCTATTCTTCCAGTTCAATCAAATCTATCCCAAGTACAGCAACATTGATAGCTCTTCGCTTAATCTGGAGTCTTCGCTAAAACTTTGGACAGTGATTTAAGGTATTAAAAAGTAATAAAAACGGTGTAAGTCTTGTTCATCTTCATTCAGTATTGTTTACATTATATTCGTGTTGATAGCCTCGTTTGTCACGCAGTTAGTTTTTCTGCAATATTCTGCTATGCGCTGGTTAATTGGGCATAATGCAATCGTGAGTCATGACGTAACGTTATGTAAACATATTTGGTCCGATTTGAGGCTTTGGAGTCATAATTTGGAACATAACTCTGCTTCCGTTAAAGCAGTGTTTAGTGGCATTAGCTTTAATCAAACGAAACACTGGGGGGAGTATGATTGGTTAAGGACATAGAGAACAGTGGTGAACTTTTGAAGAGTCATTAATGCATGCGCAATGTGTCATATTGCGTGCACTGTAAAGTGTTTTTGGTAAGTGTAGCAATTGGAAATTAACGAAAGTGTCCGAACCCTCGATAGTTCGGAGCACTGACATTGTCAACAGAATCACAAACGGCCCATATTCAATTCTCTAGTTCATCGGATGGCTTGGATATTGAATGGATTACTCGCGGAGTAAAATAATTTAACTTTAAGGTGGATACTCCAGACTTTGTTTATGATCGCGCAGATCCTTTGTGGACCTTGGCGTGCATGTAAAAAATCAAACAAAACAGGCGATTGGAATTCGATATAAGAGGAGGCAATAGCGCCACTGTTTTGGGGTCATCACACGGAACTCACAACCAGGATATTCCTAGTTGGAAGCCAGGTCAATCTGATTGAAACGCAGATCCTATTTCGTTTCGTTTTTATAGTTCAAAATTTTGTTTTACCTGTCTTAAGTACACTGGGATCTGGAAGATTTGTTATCATTGACGTGTTCTGAATGGTATGAGGGCTTAGCCAATGCAACGGTCTGTTACGGCGAGCTTTAGACGTGTTTTGCACGGAACTATGGGTAATCCACTAGTAACATCAATGCTGATTGGTTAATCAAATGATTGACGTCATAGGGTCAAAAGCCGCTAGTATGACCTCTGACGCGACCTATCGCTACAACTGATCAGATCGTCATGTAGTGTAGGCCATCGAAAGTATAAACTAACGAACGAAACGAAATATAGATCTGTATTATAATCAGATTGAATCCAGGTGTAAGCTGAGGAAATTTGTAGGATTTTTAAGTCCTGTTCCCGCTTATCAGGGCTGTTGACCACGGGTCTGACAAATAAAATTGTGTTCGATGGACATGAAATGAAATGAAATGGGGCTTGACGTCTTACTATTCTGCTCCTACTGGGCTAATGAAGACGGGCATACGCCACTCAGTATGCCCGGACACTGGCGCTACAACCTACTATTATATCGACTTCTAACTGCCAACGTCACCAAGGGCAAATTTCCCTGTTGTCGCACTGCATTGCCCAGTTGGTGCAGAAAAAGAAAGACGTGTTTCATTTTCGAAATCGTCCATGTTTTACGTCATATTATATAGTAAGATCGACGTTAGGTCTTTGGAGAAGTATAAAATCCGTTAATTAATTAGTCCAAGGATAATGACGTTGTAGTAGAACGAGGTTAAGGACAATATATAGCTAACGTTGTAGTGGGACGAAGGTAAGGACAATATTATAGCTAACGCTGTAGTAGAACGAGGGTAAGGACAATTGTAACGGTGTCAAGTTGACACGCCTTGCATAGTTTAGTTCTGGTTTACATTTATTGTAATGGTTCGCTCTCCTTTAAATACTAACGCGGTATGAATATATTGGTCCGATTACCTAAGTCTATTATTGTAGTAACCTCCCTTGTTAGTCGAGATTGTCAAGTCTCTTGTATTTTGGGTAGCACGTGGAGTAGACGCTAATAAAGAGGGGGATGAACTGTTATCATGTTCTTTTATATTTATATCATTATTCTCTGGTTCCGGTTAACCTGTAACACCCCTACGAGTGGACCATGTGGACAGGAGCCCTGTGGTCGTAACACAATATATAGCAAATGTTGTAGTGGGACGAAGGTAAGGACAATATAAAGTTAAAGTAGTAGTGGGACGAAGGTAAGGACAATATATAGCTAACATTGTAGTAGAGCGAGGGTAAGGACAATGTAGCTAACGTAGTAGTGGGAAGAAGGTAAGGAAAATATGTAGCTAACGGCATAGTCTTTTGTTCTGGCTTCAAATGTTATGTATATATTTAGGCATTTATTCAACTGACAAGTGCATTTTAATCAACTCTATAGAACATCGGGTGACTATGATATTAAATGATTTAGAAAATAACTGCTATATTATCTTCGTTAAAAGTTTGACTGGAAATCAATGATAAGCTTACATGACAATCGAGACTATATATACTATGTCTCGTCAAAACATATCATTTATAAGATAACTTAAATAGACTGAAAGAAGCAAACCCGAAGCATAGCAACAGCTTGATTTAATTCTTATAAGGAAAACATTTAAATCTTTTTATATGGATTCCGTCTTTATTAATTAGCTCATTCGAATTGAATATGTCGGATAGATCTTCCTCGTCGTTTTTGTAGAGGGCGGAGGTTACCATAATCACCCAGTTCTGTTTTCCTGATTCTGGTTTCCATTTGATAAAGTAAATCTACCTGTGAAATAAAAATACAGGTATGTCGTATTAAAAAAATAATTCATACACCAAACTTAAGACGTCCCTTTTTTAAATTTAAAGATACATTATGGGAGATTAGATAAAGAGCTGGCAGTTCTCACTATAATAGTTAAAAACTATATGCTGTAAATTTGCTGCAAATGTCAGTCAAATTGATCCACTCTGAACCGAGATACATTATGAGAGATTAGATAAAGAGCTGGCAGTTCTCACTATAATAGTTTAAAACTAGATGATGTAAATTTGCTGCAAATGTCAGTCAAATTGCTCCACTCTGAACCGAGAATTTAGCAATTGAATTTTGAGCCTAGCCTCGATCATCATTACTTAAGTCAGTGTGATAAAAAACATAGTCCCGCTTATCCATTTTTGATTTAATCATGAATGAGCGTTGAGCAGCAGATCGGATCCTAATCCAGTAAATATCGCAGGCTAGCGATGACATCGAGAGTTGATTATGGTCTGGATAAGTTAATTAATATCTAATTAATAATTCAGATAATATTTCAGGCCTAAAGAAAAACTTGCAATAGGCCAATTTAGCTCTTGCATATTAATGGATGTTTAAGGAAAATGTGTTTTTTAGGCAGTAATTGAAATAATGAAACGAAATTGTGTTCTTTAAATAGTATTTTAGACATTTAAACGAAATTAATGCGTCCATTCGATATCCATTTAGACATTAAAACATAAAAAATGTGTTATTTAAAGGAGCTAAATCGCTAATATTTTGGACCTAGAAATTTGCACAAATGAGTCGCAACACACATAATAATGTAAAATGAATTTATATAAACTGTTTTACATTCAATCGTGTCCGTTTTACTGTGAATTGTCACCAGTTATGTTCGGCTAAACACGGCAGAAGTCTCAACCGCCAGTCAGTTTCTAGCGTCTGGTTATTCCAGTCAACACCGATATTATTTATTGCGCATGCTCTCCAAATAAGAATACGATATATCACCGTTTGACATGACTTGTGGAATATGTATAACCTCATTCTTTGAGCACCTTGTTACAAATGGCGCTAAAACGCTTTATGGTACACAATTCGTGTACCAATGGTAAAATGTTTATTTTGTCTTAAATATTGGATATCAGAAGCCCGTCTTTTTCAGGTAAGATCACAACACCAATGCTGATTTAAATAGTAAAAAAAATCGTGTTTTCACTGTCGAAGAGTTTGGATGATATTGAGTTACGGACTTAGCTACTTTAAATAATAAATTCGACATCAAACCAAATAAAAATATACAGCTAAGTAGCTAAATCTTTAACTCAGTATCAACCACAGTCATGGACATTGGACAATTTAAAGCGACATTGGTGTTGTTATCTTACCGTGAAAAGATGGGCTTTTGATATCCAATATTTAGGACACAATGAAACTTTTTAAATTGCGTCACAGAATGCTTGCGGGCGCCATTGTAATGAGCGACTGCGGGGAACAAGGCTAAACATGCCCAACAAGGGAAGACTACCGGAGTCGACTAGAATAACCTGCCGCCAAACACTGCGATTCAATTTGCACTCATCGCGCATTTCGCCAAACACAACTGATCAGAAATTACAGTAAAAACAGAAACGATTGAATGTAAATCAGTTTATACACGTTCATATTACATTATTATATACGTTACGACCCATTTGTGTCCTTTTCTAGGTGTCAGATAATATCGTTAACTTTGACGATCCATAGAGTCACTGATTAGTGGTGATTACGAGCCGTAGAGTCACTGATTAGTGGTGATTACGATCCATAGAGTCACTGATTAGTGGTGATTACGAGCCATAGATTCATGTTGAGAGTGGTCGAATGGCCTTATGCCGGCGCGTTTGATCAAAAGTTATGTATGGTTTCAATCCTATGCCTGCAACATTCATGGCGTGGTTTCATATTGTCAGTTGTACAGCACGGGGGAGGGGGGGACTTTCCTCCATATCGCACTGCATTGCGTATGACCGTTTCCATTATCCCAGGCGGAGCAGACCAGTAACGCGTTAAGCTCCACCTCACTTTATTTCCCGTGGACACGGCGAAAAGACTCTCCTTCAAAAATCCGTGTGGACACGCTTTAAGTCCCGTTCATCAAAATAAAGAACTTACAGTAGATTGACTTATCATTTTCGGTCTCTCCCCTACTAGCCATAAAACAGCTTCGGAACAAGGTGGTGACGTCAGACCTCCTTCATAGTAATAATAACGTGGTATATTTGGCAACAAGAAACGGGGGTTCACTTTAATACCTGTAATATGTTCACCTGTAAATGGAAAAGTTAATCATGTATAATTTGATGGGTAGAATTAAAATACCAATGTAAAATAGTGCCTACTTTCTCGCCCCTCTCTCCCCAATAGGGTTTAACGTCCACTCGACACAATCTAGGCCATTTAGGGACTAACACATGGTTCAATTTTATTTCAATAATTCGCTTGTGGGAGGAAACCGGGGCACTCGGAGAAAAACACACAAGTTTGGGCAGGCGATCGTACTCCTTGTCACCTGCAACCGGGGGATCGAAACCACGCCGGGTGACTCAATGATAGACCTTATAATACAACGCACAGAGCGCTAACCATTCGGCCATGCAACCCCCCCCCCATCCCGCCACAAATCTTGGACAAGGACATTCTCTTACAGATTGTCCCAGTTTAAGGCTACAGTGCTTTACCTTTATTATCTTGATTTGATTTTAGTTCTCAATTTGATTTAAGTTTTGTTTGTTTTTGTTTTACTTTTTTCAGATTAAAGATTAATTCAGTTTAATTTTACTTTCAAGTCTTATATAGAATTTTTTTTGTGGATAAAATAATGATTGATAACGATAGACCACAACATTGGGGTGGGGTGGGTGGCGCTAATCCAATTCTTTTATTGAATAAATTATATTAATAACTATTTAAAAATAAACACCCGTCTACATGTTTTACGCTGAATATATGTTACAGTCAATGTCTACAATCAGGCAATGTGTACAATGCCTTTGTAACCCTAACCCTACCCCCACCCCAACCCTTACGCTACCCCCTAAACCTAACCCTAACCCTAAACCTACTCACCACAGCCAGGTTCTGATTTCATAAGACCGCAGTTATCAGTTTGATGATAACTGACTGCATTGACGCACTCTTCCTCTGGATTAATGATCCCTGCTAACTCCAGGGCAGCTAATCTTCTGTTCTCGAGAGTACACACATTATCTACAATACACGAACATATATAATTTCTACATTCAATCGGAGTACCTCAACTTTTTCCGTTATCCGTTTAATGTGTGGTTTAACATTTTACGGCTCTGCATCAATGGCCATACGACATGCGCAGTGTTATGAGGGACATTTTGCACCGATACCTGCGTTTCCGTCTACATAAATGTGTACGCGTAGGGGGAGGGGGACTGTTTTGTTTAATACAATCAGACCGACTAGACACTATCCCACAACACTGACAAAAATCATATCAGGAAGCTCTTGGCTGGAGAAATCCGAGGAACCCGTGTGCTGTAAGCCGTGGTCACCTGACCAGTCAGCCAGTGCCATACACGCCAAGCTATTTTATTTCAATAATTCGCTAGCGCGTGGGGATCTTTAGAAGGTGGGAGGAAACCGGGGGACCCAAAGAAAATCCACGAGGTTGAGCAGGCGACAATACTCCTTACCAAGTACAAGCGGGGATTTCAAACCACATGACTCAATTCGCGAATTTAGCTAAAGAATATGTCAAAATATCATTTATAGCTTGTAATGCTACGTTCGCACTGTACGATATGATTTTCCCTACGTGGAGATACGTTCGAATACGTGTCGATAAGATCAACAAGATTGCTACGACTGATCATGACCTCAATAAATGATAAGATCATCAGGATTACTCAACAATTAAAACCACGATTTCAATCGTCGTAGCACGAATCGTGATGGTGGGAACCTAGCATTAACTAACCAAAATCTGAAGCTGTGTAGCGTCTAACTTCTTCAAAGTGTTTAAAGATGTGGTTGTAGGTGTTACTATTTTCATTTCTAAGCTGAAAACGGAGAGAGGAAGATATATGTAGAGATAAATAAAATGGGGTTTATAGTAGCTAAGTCTTTAACTCAATATCTTCCAAAGTCTTCGACATTGATAAACACGAATAGGTTGTCAATTTAAATCAACATAAATGTTGTGATCTTACTGGGAAATGATGGGCTCTGATATCCAATATTTAAGACAAAATAAACATTTTACCATTGGACTCGTTATACCAGCAATAAAATTGAAATTAAACTTCCGCTTAATAATTCGTATACAGTTCTCTCAGTCAATAATCAGAACAACCTAATTCTATAATTTCATTTTGACCAATCCGGATTTAGTTGCTAGGAATTATTCAGTTTTTAGACAGATTTTCATATCAGCATTAAAATCGTTTGCCACGCCCCAACGTAAACCTGAACCATGGCAGAGATTGAGAACTGATGTTACCTCAAACATGACGGAGATAACCAGAAGGCCATCTGGATGAGCACTGGCTGCTTCTAAGTCTTCATAGTCTTGTCGATGGTGTACAATATGAGCCTGTAATAATAATAATAATAAAGTTAAGGATGAGGAAAAGGAGGATGGAGATACTGATTGGGGGAGGGGGGCGGATGGAGATACTGATTTGGGGAGGGGGGCGGGGGAAGATACTGATTGGGGGAGGGGCGGGGAGGGGGTAATAATAATAATAAGAAGAAGAGCTAGAAGAAGAAGAGAAATGATAATAGTAATAATAATAACTAGACCTGCAAGCAGGAATCAAACAGGAATAACGTCATACGATAGCACATTCATAGGACTATCTATCCATCCATACTTTAGATGTTCTGATCCGGTGACATCAGGCCGAGAAATCGCGTTTCTCACAAAAGTACCCATGTTTTAGGGGTTTTTTTTCAAAATATCGGATATTTATTCGACTACTTCCGGTTTACAGATCAATGTCGGGATAGTTGTCGGGTGGATTCCTAACTTCGTGTACCAGAAGTTTCAAAAACACCCATTTGGGGAGTTAAAGAAAATAAAATTAGAAAAGCATTTTCAATAATTTAACACTTTTCGACGTTTTTTTTAAAGATTGGGGTCCTTTTTGAACACTTTATATCATTTCGAGGCTTTGGATTCACACCCTAGGCTACAGATAGGTAGGACTCTGAGTAACAGAAGTTTAATAAGAAAATAAAAAAAAGCAGTGTTCAAGATAAAATCGTTTGCACTTGAAGTGTTAGAAACATTCATTTAGCAGTTTCGAAAAAATAAGAAAAATGGAAGAGCATTTTGAGTAAGTTAACGACTTTTCAACTGTTTTCAAAGATTAAGGCCCTTTTGAACCACTTATATTATTTCAATGCTTTGATATTTGGATGCACACTCTAAGCCACCGATAGCACAGTTTAAGACAAATTGTAAGTGTTGTTTTCCAGGAAATGGCGTCCCAAAAGTCTCCAATGGGGGTATCAAACGACACGTTAATTCTTTTGATTCGGTGAAATCTGGAGGATAAATCACGTTTTTCACAAGAGCACGATTTTTTTGTACTTTTATTTTCATTTTTTGGTCTACTTCCGGTATACAAATCATTGTCGGGATAGTTTAACAACTGGTCTGGGCACTCGAATAGTATAATGATATAATATTATATTATCTCATCAAATGAAGTCCCCTCTGAGAAACCTTGTGTTCAAGTGGGCCAAAACCAGAAAAATGTCGAACATTCGAAAATTAAATTTGTATTTCCTGTTTAGAGTACACGAAAATAATACGAAATCGATTAAGAAAGAAGACGAAATGGATTTACAAGCATACGGTTGGATACGATAAACATTATATCATACCCGTTTTTGATTTCTTAACGGTTTAATAAAAATAACAGACTTCCGATTCCGGTAAATTATAAAATACGAATACAATATGAAAGAAGACGAAATGAATTTAACTGCGTATGTTTTGCTTCAGATTACTATTGTGGCACGATAAACAGCATATGAAACTTCATAACGGTTTTATAAAAGTAACGGACTTTCGACTCCGGTAATTTATAGAATACTAGCTTCTTACAAAACACAAGAAGACGAACAATGAACTGAAAAGCATGTGATTTGATTCACTTTGCTATTGGTTGCGATAAAAATTGTGTTATACCCGTTTTTGACGTCTTAGCGGTTTGATTGAATTGATATTTCGGTGAGTGCGTGGACATTAATTATGCCTGGGTACTTACCTCAGCAGAATAAGATTTGCCGTAAATCAGGTGTTCCGTTTGTCGTCTGTCGCCTCGTTTACCAATATGAAAGTGGACACTGTCTAGAAAATATCCTACGCCCTCTTGATTTGGAGCTCCCGTCAGTATAGGCTTTCTTCCAGACACAACATACTTGTAATATACACCTACAATCGAACAATAATTAAAAGAAATGGGCTGGAACTCAACACCCTAATTGTCTGAGAGAGAGAGAGAGAGAGAGAGAGAGAGAGAGAGAAATGGGGTTTAACGTCCACTCGAAACAAACTGGGTCATGTCGGGCTTTATATATAGTTCAACATTTTATTTCCGACCCCGGAATACAAATAAGTTATGGTAGTGATTAAGAGAGAGAGAGAGAGAGAGAGGGAGAGGGAGGGGGGAGAGATGGTTTTAACGTCCACTCGAGAAATAGGGTTTAACGTCCACTCGAAACAGCCAAACTAGGTCATTTCGGGACTTACATATGGTTCAAAATTTTATTTTAATAATTCGCTTGCGCCTATGACTTTTAGCAGTGTGAGGAAACCGGAGGACCCGGAGAAAACTCTCGAGGCTGGACAGGCGACCCTACTCCTTGTCACGTACAACCGGGGAATCGAAATCACGCCAGGCGACTCAATGACAGACCCTATGCTACAGCGCGCACGTTCTAACCATATTATTTAGTATAGAATGTACGCGCATTTTCTGTTTTTCTCATTGTCTCTTATCTAGTTACAGTTAATTATTTTTTTTGAATAATCCGATATCCTCTCCCAGTCTCATATAACATATTTTCATTTTTAACGAAATTATCAGTGAGCTGAAATTCGACCGTGTATCTGTCAGTTATATACAAGGATAACTCGTGTTTTCCTTTCACATTCGTCACTTCCGATTGTTGAAACCTTCGTTACGCATCTACCCTTACTTGCGTAGCAATGATCCCTGTGTTAAAATTATATTTGGAACGTACTGAATGAGTTCTATCACACATGCGATAAAGGCTGATACCAATAACCACAAGAAAATTCTACCCCCAGTTAAAACATTAAGATAAGATAATCCTACCCCCTGTTAAAACATTAAGATAATGTTAAAACATTAAGATAATGTTAAAACATTAAGATAATGTTAAAACATTAAGATAATCCTACCCCCAGTTAAAACATTAAGATAATCCTACCCCCAGTTAAAACATTAAGATGATCCTATCCCAGTTAAAACATTAAGATAATCCTACCCCGTGTTAAAACATTAAGATAATTCTACCCCCTGTTAAAACATTAAGATAATTCTACCCCCAGTTAAAACATTAATGAATGTAATACGTACCGTTGTTTTGAAGGTAACCCTCTACTTCATCTTGGTCATACTTTAGAGAGTCCCGACTTCTCTCGAGTCTCCTAGTGGCATGTATATTAATTGGTGACTGGAAGTTTCCTGATGGGTCGCAGCAGCTGTTTAAAGGAAATTCGCGGTCACCCGGTCCATCGATTAATATATGACTGTCAAGTCCTGCCCAACATTCTGGTCCTATATACAGAGAACAATACAAAGAGAACAATTACTTAACACAAAGACAGAAAGATTTGGGTTAAAGTCCGCTCGCCACGAATTAGGTCATTTTGGAAACAACCGATGGTTCAACTGCAATTCAATAGGGTCTTTAGTAGTGTTAGGAAACCAGAGGACTGGACTGTCAGGCGACCATATACCTTTCCAAGCTGGGAATCAATCTGTTTTACAGCGTTAATGCAAACGCCATATGTTAACTCTTTTAACAAGATGGCGAACCTTTAAGCTCAAGTGTAGTATTGGTCAGTCGGCAAACTTCGGCAGATTCCGTTACTCTACATCTAGCCTCGGCTGTATGCCGGAAAAGTTTACCGAGTGCAGTATATGTGTATGTGCGACGTTACATAATACGACGCGGATAAACGTAAGTTTCGCGGTTTCACTAGATACTTTTGGCAAGCGGAATTTGTTCCACCCGTATCACGTGTATATCGTGACCATAATCTAAATCCTGTTTATGGATAGAACTTGTTTTTATTTTTTTATGACTTATAATTGTAGTTGGTTTCTGGCGAAATAGGTTTAGATATTAGGGTTGGGTATATTAGGCACAACACACAATTAGCGTTATTGCATGTTACAGTGCTATGTCTACGACATGTGAAATGAAATAGGGTTTAACGTCCACTTGACACAAACTAGGTCATTTCAGGACTAACGTATGTTTTTTTGTATTATTATTTATTTCAATAACTCGCTTGCGCGTAAGGGTCTTTAGCAGTGTAAGGAAACCGGGGGACCCGGAAAAAACCCACGAGGTTGAACAGGCAACCCAACTCCTTGTCACGTACAACCGGGGATTCGTAACAACGCCAGTTGACTCAATGACAGGCCTTATGATACAGCGCGCTCGTGTTAACCATTCGTCCATCCAACCCCCTGAATATGTAAACAGATTGTTTGGGCCAATAACTTTGAGGGATTCCATATTGCCTCCACGGGGCCTGTCCGACAGCAAACAACAATAACCAGACTCAATTATCATAATGAATTCAATTTAAGAAATACTTACTGAGACGAGAATTTCGATTGTACCGAAAACAGGTTTTACCCACATCTGGACACAGCAGCCTATTACCTATAAGAGGACTTCCAACACTTTCAGACGTTCTTGAAGCAAATGTGGCATATTGATCATAGTCTTCACCAGTTTGATCTGTGCGTCCACTACTGTGACTAACTCCAGTCAATGATTCATCCATGCCTTCTGTAGCGGAACCAGCATCTTGGTCGGAACGTTTACTTGTGTAATAATATTGACCATCGTGTTTACCAGTTTGGCCTGGACTTCCTCTACTGCGATTAACTTCACCCATGCGTTCTGTGGCATCACCAGCATCTTGGTCGGGGTGCTTACTGGCGTAATAATATTGACCATCGTGTTCACCAGTTTGGTCCATGTGGTCTGGCGTGACTTCATGGGGTTCATAATTATCAACCGCAACAGTCTCTTCAGCTGCAAATACAACTAAGCAAAGCACCGCTAAGCTTATCCCGCCTAACACACGCATACTGCTGCTTTTTGTATCTGTTAGTGAACTGTCTGATAGCTAGATGTTGCAATCGACAGATTAGTCGAAGAAACACGTGTACTATTTATACAGTGCTCTAGGTATAAATCATAGTCTTACCCAAGAAACAAGGAAAAAAATTTGATAAATGGTTGAAACCTGAATTAATTAATCAGTTATTTATGTATATTTATTCTCGTTATCTTGCAACAAAGCATTATTTAGTTTTTGGGGTTACCTTTAATATTAATTTTGTATTTTATTATCCTATAGTATGATTTATCGCTAGTAGGGCTGTCTCGCTGTAGTTCAAAACGTCAAAGATACATTTTACATCCTTGAAGAGAGACCCACTCCTGTTGCACCATTCTGGCATCGAATGTATGCCACTTGACTCCAAAACAGCTCTTATGTTAGGTAGGGAGGTTGGATGGCTGAATGGTTAGCGTGCGCGCGCTGTATCAAAGGTCTGTCATTGAGTCGACTGGCGTGGTGTCGAATCCCCGGTTGTACGTGGCAAGGAGTAGGGTCGCCTGTCCAACCTAGTGGGTTTTCTCAGGGTCCTCCAATTTCCTCCCACTGCTAAAGATCCCTACGCGCAAGCGAATTATGTAAATAAAATTAAACCATATGTTAGTCCCGAAATGACCTAGTTTGTGTCGAGTTGACGTTAAACCTCATTTCTCTCTCTCTCTCTCTCTCTCTCTCTCTCTCTCTCTCTCTCTCTATCTCTCTTATGTTAGGTTCTCACTATCATGATTCGCGCTACGATTGAAATCGTGGTTTTAATCGTGGAGTAATCGTGGTGATCATATCATATATTATAGGCAGTCGTAGCAATCGTGTTGATCGTATCGAAACGTATCCGAACGTGTCTGCCTTGCCAGATCGCGGGCTCAATAGGGACAATTTGATCGTAACGCATCAAACGGCATAGCATAAGACCACTAGACCTCAAACAGGGACGATTATCTTTGGTTTTCTACTGGTGCTGGGATATTTGAGATCTGGAGTCGGGTTATTAAGCTGGGTTCAGACGACCAAGACGAACCAGTTTGAAATAAAAAGCCTTCTCAAAGACAGGTCAAAAGCTGGACTAAGCCTATTTTGTGACTTCTTCCGGCAAGTTTCGTGGGAAACACGTGTCTGCGATATCACTCTAGGTGGAAGTGGACGTAAAACCCCAGGAACGAAAGAACGAAGACAGGTCGCCAAGGTAAGGTTTTTAAACTGGTTTATTTTACCTAAACGACAAAGTTAAACCGGTTTAACTAGTTCAATTAAGCCTCTGAACGGGCAATAACTATAATACGTCGGTGTCGTCTGTCATTATAGATCTGTTTTGTCAACACGGCTTCATTATCTGGATTAAAAGCTCTGATATAATAGTCGGTTCAGAAATGAAATGAAATCAGGTTTAACGCCCCACTGTTCTGCTCCGACTGGGTTAATGAAGACGGGCATACGAAGGAAATGTTGCCCGCACAGCGGCACTATGGCCTTCCCTTACATCGAATTCCAACAGCCAAGGGATCTTTTACATGCACGCCAATGTATACATCAGTCCTCGGTTTTTCGTCCCATTCGTCCTGCACCACTGACAAGGGGAAACCACGTCGGTTAATCCCGATGAACTTTCTCGGCCAATGCAGGGACTTCGGGTTTACCGAGCCATCGTCTTACCCATTAAGTCCTCCGGATGAGACGAAAAACCGAGGTCCCGTGTATACATTGGAATGCACGTAAAATAACCCTTGGCAGTTGGAATTCGATATAAGAGTAGGCGATAGTGCCGCTGCCCGGGCAACATTTCCCTCATAGGACACTGTATGCCGTATGCCTGTCTTCATTAGCCCAGTATAGGAGCAGAACAGTAGGACGTTAAACCCCATTTCATTTTATTTCATTAAGCCAACGTGGCTCTTTGCCCGTCCAGACGCTTAAGTTGAACTGGTGGATGTCGTACACGAGGCGGGGTATGCCGCTCACTCCTGGAACACGCAGTATCTCTTCTTATTTTATTAAGGTCTTTGCTGTAATTTTACATCTAAATTATCATTTTATGATCATTTTATTTCAAATGTTCATAAACCAAAACAAACACAAACAAAAACTTTGTTCTGCTGATTTATTTCTAGATAATTTAAACATACATTATGACGTCACATCAATAATGATGTCATTGTAATAATCATATTAAACATACATTATGCAAGAGCTCAATCTGTCTATTGCGGGTCTTTGTTTAGTCCTGAAATGTTATCTAAATTATTAATTAGACATTAATTAACCTATCCACACCATAATCTACTCTCGATGTCATCGCTAGCCTGCGATATTTACTGGATTGGAATTCGATCTGAAGCTCAATGCTCATTGATGATTAACTCAAAAACTATGTTTATTATCGTACCGACTTTAGTGGTTCAATTTGAATAAAATTTTAAGCAAATTTATTTATTTTTTTATATTATCTCCCGTAATGTATTTTAATGTAGAATAATTTAATTTTGTAAGTAAAATATTGTATTATTCTTTAAAGAATGGTTTACTGTTGTACCTAATAGGCTTATAATTTATTTGTTGGGATATATGAAAAACGCGCAATTTCACACGTGCCAAATCAGCGCCACCTGCCATTGTCAGACCCTATAACCGTGATGAACTTTTTCGGCCAGCATCGGGGGCAATCCTGCAGACCAGCGAGCCAGTGTCTTAGCCACTTAGCCACCGTGGGTGGGCCCCATATAAGTAAAAATCCCCATGCAAAGCTTAATATTGTAAAAAACAGCATGCGTTTTTAAGGCTTAAACCTATCGAATTCTTTACCATCTTACTTAAAACTGACCACTAACTTAAATTCTTTCAACAAACAATTTTTCAAATATCTTAATGTCAAAGATTAATACTGGTACCCTCTATCTCCATATATAAAAATAATGTATAGGTAATTTTTCCTTGTATACATTTGTATGCCTTTGCTATCGTAAGTTATATTTATATTTATTATTATTATTATTATTATTATATCTCCTTTGTTTCTGTCATCTTTTGTATTATAATTTCATCCTGATTTTTTTATACTCCTGTGTTCATCCTTCCCTTTATATGTTGTGCTATCATATTTTGTATTATATTTTTTCATGAAGGGTAGAATGGTAGAAAGGCTTCTGCAGCCTAATCCTTTAGCCTTCTTAAATAAAGTTATTATTATTATTATTATTCATATTATTATTATTATTAATAAGTATATTATCATACGGTGCGCACCGTAGGTTAGGAGTTATAATCATGAAGTTAATTCCACTCCATATTGACGTAGCCGTCTTTCTTCTTGTTGATATTTATATTTAGGCTCGCTAAACAGGAGAGAGAGAGAGAGAGAGAGAGAGAGAGAGAGAGGGGGGCGATGGGGTTGAACGTCCACTTGATACAAACTAGGTCATTTCGGGACTAACATATGGTTAAATTTTATTTCAATAATTCGTTTGCGCGTAGGGGTCTTTAGCAGTGGGATCGGGAAACCGGAGGACCAGGAGATGACCCCACGAGGTTGGACAGACGACCCTACTCCTTGTCACGTATAACCGGGGAATCGAAACCATGCCAGTTGACTCAATGACAGACCTTATCATACCGCGTGCACGTGCTAACCATTCAGCCATCCAACCCCCTAGGACATTTAAACCCATTTTATTTCGTTTTATTTTTTATGTAAAGTGTACATTTTCAGAAAGAAATATTTAATTTACATAATAGCTGGAGGCCATTTTGAAATTGTGACAAATAAGAAATATGAGACACGAATGGTACCTATTTTTACGCAGATCTCAACCATTAAGACATTCCAAGAATGCGTAGTTAAAGTCAGAATTTTAAAAATGCGCATCCCACCTTGGTCTGTAAATACTGCGGATTGATTTGAAATTAAGTGAATTGAACTACCATTAACCAATTGCCCAATATTTAATAATATATTATGCAAGAGCTAAATCTGCCTATTGCAGGTCTTTCTTTAGGCCTGAAATGTTATCTAAATTATTAATTAGACATTAATTAACTTATCCATAATCAACTCTCGATACTATCGCTAGCCTGCGATGTTTATTGGATTAGGTTCCGATGTGCTGTTCGACTTCCATTCATAATTTAATCATGAAATGGATAATCCAGACTATCTTTTGTCGTAATCTCAGTTCAGAGTGGATCAATTTGACTGAAATTTTCAGCAAATTCCTTTTACATTATCTAGTTTTTAACCATTATAGTGAGAACTGCCAGCACATTATCTATTCTTCCATAATGTATCTTTAATAAATACTTCTTTTTGCGAGATCAAAATGAAGTTTTACAATGGACTGGCAGCTTTCCTTTGCATACATGGCGATGTCCCCTCCTGTGCATGTAAAGGCTTAGTTCAATTTACAGAATCCCCAAATTACAATGTCCTCTCCTGTGCATATACATGCTTACAGAATCCCCAACAAATGACAATGTCCTCTCCTGTGCATATACATGCTTACAGAATCCCCAACAAATGACAATGTCCTCTCCAGTGCATATACATGTTTACAGAATCCCCAAATTACAATGTCCTCTCCTGTGCATATACATGCTTACAGAATCCCCAACAAATGACAATGTCCTCTCCTGTGCATATACATGCTCACAGAATCCCCAACAAATGGCAATGTCCCCTCCAGTGCATGTATATGCTTACAGAATTCCCAACAAATGCAGATATTGGTGAATTAATTGTGGAAATCAAAAACAAAACAATTGTTTCAAAGCATAAAAAATTAAGTCTGAAATCCATTATCTTAATTTAATAAATAAGAGTGTGTACCCCCCCCCCCCCACACACACACACACACACTCCCGGTTATATAATAGAGTTACATATTAGTAGTTGGTTTAGTCAACCATATCATTGTGTTGTTGGTGTAGTCAACCATATCATCATGTTGTTGGTGTAGTCAACCATATCGTTATGTTGTTAGTGTAGTCAACCATATCGTTATGTTGTTGGTTTAGTCAACCATA